TAATAATAATAATAATAATAATAATAACAATAATAATAAAGACAACAACGATAATGTTTCGTCCATCTTAAACTGATAATGACCATAAACACCCAAGGAAAACGGTCACGAGAGAAAACCAAAAGAAATAACAGCAAGCAACTTTTAATGACGCAAACGCCACAGAAAGCAGCGCCCTTCCTTTTCCTAAAGTTGTGTGCTTATCTTCCTTATCATATTACGGTTACATTTACATGTAGTTTGTTAGGTCACATGCTCCCTCCCATTGCTTCACTTGTGACCTTTAAGAGCTATTCTTTTTTAAAGAACATTCCTCCAAACAGAGCACTTTGGTCCGTTTCTGTTTAACCAGAGTGTTTAAGTCAGGATTAGACTGTCTTGATCGTTTTGTGCGTGTGTGTGTGCGTGTGTGTGTGTGAGTGAGTGAGTGTGTGTGTGTGTGTGTGTGTGTGTGTGTGTGTGTGTGTGTGTGTGCTTTGGAGGAGGGGTTCTCTGACTGCCCTTTCTTTACAAACCTATTTTTACATAAGTATTATGAAGGGCTCAGTGAAAAAACACCCCCTCCTACAAACAAACAAACATACAAACCAAAAACAACTGCAAAAAAAACCCCGACGAAAACAACAACAACAACAACAACAACAACAACAAAAACGATTGTTATAAAAAAAAACCTGGAATTCTTAAGGGTATCAGCTTTAAGAGCTTGTAGACTAATAACCGAATTTCTCTTCAACCGTTAATTTATTACTACTACTAATAAATAGCATTTGTATAACGCATACCCCCGCTCAACAGCAAGCTCTATGCGCTTTACACTATATTATTATTACCCCAGCATATCATAGAACACTCCGAAACATTCTCAGCTTCCCGGGAAGCATACAGTGCAAGCAGCTGATTAAGCGCCTGAACACCAACAAACTGACAAGATCTTTCGCTGTCTATAGCCGGGTACCCATTCCCAGCTGGGTGAAGGGAGGAACATTCGTGTAAAGGGCCTTTCCCAAAGTCACAACGTCGGGCCCCTGACGGGATTCGAACCCCCGACTTTACGGTTCCGAGTCCGAAAGCTTAACCACTAGGCCACCGACTAATTTTAGACGTCTAACTCCACAAACAGTAACAATGAAAAACTAGTCAAACAGAAATGAAGTAGTTATTTTGAGTCTACTCATGTCTAAAATTGATACCCTCAGGATTTCCATTTCGTTAGTTGAGCACTTCATTTCATAGCAGACCTGTGACATCTCCAGGTATCCGTGACGTTCCCGTTTATCCGCGAAAGAGAAGACCAGGAGCTGGATGGTGAGTGTCCCAAACAGAAGGCAGTGTATGGAGAACTCCAGACTGTCAGACTCGTACACCTGGCAGACATACATGTACATTTTGTACTTTGATACATGTACGAGTTGACTCACGGGGGGACAGGTTTTATATTCTGTTATTTAATATCATAACATAATTATTAAATCTCTCCTCCTCCCCCCTCCCTCTGTCTGTCTGTGTGTCTTTCTGTTTTGTCTGTCTGTTTGTCTTTCTGTGTGTATGTATTTGTTTGTCTGTCTGTGTGTGTGTGTCTGTCTGTCTGTATTTGTCTGTCTGTGTGTCTGTCTGTGTGTCTGTCTGTGTGCCTGTGTGTATTTGTCTGTGTGTGTGTGTGTGTGTGTGCGTGTGTGTGTGTG